CTCTTTATCTCACTTTTTCTTTTCCTTTTCTTTATAATTTGCATTTTCAATTTTCTTTTTCATTTCTAACTTTTAACTTTGTAATTTTAAAATTCCAATAAAATACTATTAAAAAGAAAAAAGAAACTGCAAGAAGCATTTCCCCACCTCATTTCTGGTAAGTTCGTTACGGCGGAATTGCTTTGAATGATCTGAAACTCTTCTTCCTGGGTTTCTCGCCACCGGGGCGGCATTGCTGTTTATGAGATAAGTCCCCTCCTATCACTTGAGGATTTACGTTTGGGTTTTCTTCCTTTCCTTTTCCAGCCTTCACACAATCCAGGGGTATCTGCAGTGTATGGTCAAAAAAGTCAAGATGGCCACCATCGGCAGAGCTTTAATTGCACCGTCACAGTTGACATCTTGACTTTTTTGACTATATCCTCAGACACCAGCCGTACCGTCTCACAGGAACCTGAGCAGGTTTGTCTGACCATCCCTTCGTTTCCCAGAATCTCTGTCGATAATGGGACCTCAGGGGCCCTGCAGCAAATCAACCGGAGTCTTAATCCAAAATCAAGGTTGCTCGCAATGCCAGGCGGCTGGATTCTTAGGCCCAGCCAGGACGACGGCCAACGATTACAGAATTATGCAGCTGATATGGATTTTTTAAACCTCAAGGGGTCCCAGATTCCTAAATATGAGGACAGTGGACTGTTCAAAAATGCTTTGGAAAAATGTTTTGGACCTCAGTGTGTGCAGCACCTCTCTTGAATTCGTTAAAGCAGCCTGCCTTTTTTCTGCGTTCTCCACAAGCTGGAAAAAAGTTGGAGCTGCTTTAAGAGTTGCCTTCACTTTAATGAACTGGCTGCTTAAAGCAGCCACACCTGTTGTTCAGGCTTGTGGGCGAAGACTGGAAACAGGCTGGCGGCTTTAATGGATGGCCGAATTTTGCCGCCTTGGCAGAATTTGACTTAAGCCTGGATTTAAAACAGAATCAATGGTTCAATGTTTGTCCTCTGGCTGTTGAGCAGGAAGGAAGTTGGGACAATGCTTGACTCAGAGGCCCAGACACACCACCCACATGTGTTCAATGTTTACAGAAGCAAAACTCCATTTCCAATGGGTTTGCCCTGCGTCTTGGAAAGGCGCAGCGAATTCCCTAAAACCGTAACTAGATATCGCCTCTCTTTAAAAAAAATACATTTTTACAGCAAAGAATCCAGTTCCTGCTTTTTTCAGCTTAGACGTGCAGGAGGGTGCAAGAGCATCTCGCCAACGAGAAATATTAACAGTGAGACATCAAGAGCCTTGTTCGCTTGCTCCTGGGTGAATACAAGGATGTGGCAGTCCAATCAGCATTTCTGAGACTGAAATATTCCCAAACTAAGATCTCCTTTATAGAAGTGGCGGTTGACAAGAATGACTCATGCCCTCATCTCCTTGAGGTTGACCGCTATAGAATAGTTAACACGGGGAAGCCCTTGAAGACAACTGGTACAGAATGCATCAGCTAACTCAGTGTTTCTCAACCTTGGCCACTTTAAGATGTGTGGACTTCAGCTCCCAGAATTCCCCAGCCAGCAAAGCAGAGAGAGGTGATCTAAAGTTTGCAACCGGATGGTTCAAAGGGCAGGGGTAGGGTTCCTCCAGCCCAGGCATAACCACTGTTTTACCTACACCCTGCATAACACAACCAAGGCACTTAAATTCATTTATATACATTCCTTTTCCATTTCCTATCACAGGACAATTAGCAAAAAGGAAACCTTTGTCAGCCAGACTGGAACGTCCTGCAAAATAATCTACACGGGTCATCGTCAGAGCTTGATGAGAATCAAAACAAGACATCAGGAAACTGGGCGTATGGCCTTGTGGTTCTAAATGGTGGATACTACCTGAGATGATGATGATGATGATGACAATCTTCTTCTTCTTCTTCTTCTTCTTCTTCTTCTTCTTCTTCTTCTTCTTCTTCTTCTTCTTCTTCTTCTTC